GAGCAGCCCCAAAGAGGGGAAGGGAATCCTGGCCTCTTCCCAGCCAGAGTCTGGGCTTCTCTGGGGGTTTAGAGGGACTTGCAATCCAGAGATTCCCCTCCCCCCACCTGCAATGCTCCTCCAGACCAGACCTGACCAGTCCCCCATTGCATTCAGGGGATCCAGAAGAGGCTGAGCTGAGCTGAATTGGAAAACCTCTTTCAGTCCTGACGTCTCTTTCTGTGCACGATGTTTAAACCATCCAGATTAAACATAAAGATTTTGAACCCAATTTAGAAACCTGGTTCACTTTGCAGAATCAAATGAATCTCCTTGAAACTGAAGCTCCCAACCAAAATCTAACCTTGTTGTTTTTTGTATACTTGTTTCCTGGGTTATTCTTCCCCTGTTTTTAACCACACACACACAAACACACATGTTGTTAACCACACACATACAAACACACATGCATGGCTATTTCTCCTTGCGTAAACCTCGTTCTCGGAGCCCCCCCCAAAACAAACTGAGATGGGAGGTTTTGTTTCCCAATTGCTCCCTTTGCCTGCCAGGAGAGCGGAAGCGAAGGGGGACATTCCCCCCAGACCCTCTCAGCCCCAAGAACCAAAAGACCCGGAGACTGAAGGGTCGGATGGACCTCGAGGGAGCTGGGGAGGTGCAGCCATCAAAGGATCTGGGGGGGACAGGAGAGTTTTGTACTGGAAGACAATTGAGGGGCTGCCACAAAACAGGCGGTGACTTATTTTCCAAGGCAGGAGAAGAAACGAAGGGTGGAAACCAATGAAGAGAGAAGCAACCTGCAACTAAGGAGGAATTTCCTGCCAGTGACCACAATTCATCAGGGGAACAGCCAGACCCCAGAATCTGTGGGTGTGCCCCATCGCTGGAGGTTTGGCAGGAGAGACTGGACCACCATTGGTCTAGAATGGTATAGGATCTCCTGCCAGAGCAGGGGGTTGGACTAGAAGACCTCTGAGATCCCTTCCAGTGTTAGGATTGTAGAATTCTATGGGATGCAGCACCAGCATTGTGGCTGCAACGTTTCCCAGGATTCAGGCTCACTGAGTTTCAGTTAAAATATAACCATGGAACAAAGGCAAAGGGGGGAGGGGGGTCTCCAACCAAGGCAACCTTAAGACAGGTGGACTTCAACTCCCAGAATTCCCCAGCCTCAATTAGGGGGCTGCTCTCCTGTCCCCCACCAGTACCTAGAGCTGAGCAGCAAAGTTTTGAGTTTCCGGAATCTGCTCTCTTGCCAGGCAAGACGGACTGCAGCACCTTGCCCACCTACACCATTCTGTGTCAGATGCCTGTAGAACGTTTCTTCTACAACGCGACCTCCAAGAGCTGCCAGTTCTTCATCGACTATGGATGCTCCGGGAGCCTGAACAGCTACCTCTCCGCTAAGGAATGCGAGGAAGCTTGCAAAAATATTGGTGAGTCCAGCTGTTGCTCAGGGGGGAGGAGAGCCTGAGGGCCTGCGATGAAGGGGCAGGAGCCTCGGGGGGCCAGGGGGGGCAGGCTGAGGGATGGAAGGGGTCTTCAGGAGGAGGGGAGTCTCCTGAGCCCCTGCGGGAAAAGGCCCAACCCATCTGCGTCCTTCTTCTTCCAAGCTCCTTTGGGGGGGGGGTTCTGCCCCTGCACGACACAGCCCCCCCTCCCCGCTTGGTTCCCCTTTGGTGCATCTCAGAGGCCAGTTCGGGGTGGGGGGGGAGGCTCCCCTCTTTCCTGCACCCCCCCTATCTCTGATGGGGCTACACGAGTGGCCCTTCTTCACCTGCGCGGCAGTCTGTAGAGACTGGGACTCAAGCCATGGGGGTTGCAGGGGGCTTCACCGGCCATTGGCCTGAACCCAGAGCCCGCCTGGCCAGCAGCGCAAACTCAGAGGCTTCCTTTCAAGAATGGGGGGGGGGGGCGGAGGGGGGGGGGGGTCCCTGAGACAGGCAGGCAGGTAACGCTTTGTGCGGGGCCAAGAGTCTGGAATGAAGAGCCAAAACGAGATATTTGCTGTGTTTGTACCCCTCTTAGCCTCACCCGAAAGAGGTTCCTCCCCAGTTCTGCTCCATCCATGCTCTGCACAGCCAGTCCCCCCCCCCAATTCTGAGGGGGGTGGGAGCTGACTGAAAGAAAGTAAAAAATGCCCACATCCAGCTGAGGGAGGGCTTGCGGGAGGGTGGGAGATGTCCTTCCTTTCATCCTCCCTTTAAAAACATCCATATAGCTGTCCACCCGTTGACAACCTCGATCCCCTCCTGCTACCTGCCTCCTGAACACGGGTCTTGCAAGGACCATGCTCAACGCTGGTTTTATGACCCGAAGACGCAAAGTTGCAAGACGTTCACTTTTACGGGCTGCAAGGCAAATGCCAACAACTTCAACACACGTGCAGCGTGCCAGCGGAGGTGCTACAAGAGAGGTGGGTGGGCATTGCTGGGGGAGGGGGGGGGGCTGAAAGGTGGGAGGCCGTGTGGGAAGGAGCAGAATTCCCACCTTGAGTGTGAGGGAGAGGAAGGGGGAAATGAGAGGTCCTCCCCTCCCACCGGCAGCAGAAGGGGCCCCTCTCTTTGCCCCTCCTCCCCGAGATTCTGCTGAGGGATCCGTCCGTCTGGCCAAAAGGAGAAGGAGGACCCAGGATCTCTTGGGAAGGCTGACCATCCTCTGCTCCATCCCCCACTGGCCCTTCAGCCTGCCCCAGGAGTGAGGGTCCACTTCCCCCAGGGAGGGGGGGCTGGGGGACACCCCAAGGGAGGCGCCTAGACTGGCCGGAGTGTCACGAAGGCCGAGGCTGGAGCAGAGCAGGCCCTCAGAGCAGGGGATGGGGGGGTTTCTCTGGTTCCTAGCCTGTCAAGAAGGGGGGGGGCTCTCCAATGCCTCTGTCCCCCCCCGCAGCCCCCCAAGGAAGACCCTTCCTGAGGCCTCCTTCCTTTTTGCAGGAACTCACTGAGGGCTCCGTGGACGGACGCTTGGCCTGCTTTGTGCTGAACGGAGAGAGAGGCCGGTTCAGGAGGAGACCAGGCGCAGAAAGCCTCCAGGCGCCTTCCGGGGGGGGGTGGATTCTGGAATAAATCCTTGCCCGAAGGAGACGGTGGTCTCAGGTGCTCTGTGTGTCTCTTTCCCTGGCAAGGGGAAGGGGGCGCAGGCTGCCCCCCACTTCACTATTAAACACAGAATTTGCCACACCGGCCAGGCAGGTTTATGGCGGCCTCCATGCATCTCTAGGAAGTGAGCCAATGAATACATAAATATGCCCGCTTGCCGCCGCTCTGGCACACCCCTGCTGGGCGCCCCCTGGCTCCTCTGACCAGCCTTCCAAGTCAGGGACCCCCCGAAAGCAGAACTCCGAGGTTCCTCAAAGAACAGGTTTCTTGAAGACGTCCTATCGGCACAATTGGTGGAAACCAACTCTGGAAATTCCCGCCGGTTTCAGCCTTTCTGCCGCCTTGTGGCAACCCTGAAGCAGCAGAAGATGGCGGCTTCAGCCAGGTTCGCTTCAGGGTTGACACCCCTCTTGCCCCCTTGCCAGGCATACCGAGGAGCGTGTGCCAATCCTACCCACCCAAGGAGCCAGCACAGACACAGGGGGGGGGGCTTCCTGGAGTGTCTCCCCTCTCCCTGCAGGAGCCGCCCACCTATTTTGCCAGGTTAATGCATCCCCTTTCAGATCCAGGGCCTGGATCCTCATACTGATAGTGAATCCACCTGTTTTTCTGTGTTCGTACCAGAGGTGGTATTCAACCAGTTCACACCGGTTCGAGTGAACCGATAGCGGTAATTTGGCGTGGGTTGCTGAACCGATGGCAACCCCTGGCTGGCCCTGCCTCCTGCCTGGTCGCTCATTTGCCTCGATCGCTCTCCTAGCTTCTCCTACCACATGGCGGCTGTGGCACAGCTCAGGCAGATGTCCTATGGCTGCGGCACATGTACACTGCATATGCAGCCACTACCCATGCGGTGCACAGGTGCAACAGCCCCGGGACATCCACCCACCTGCCCGCCTTCCCGGAGCGTGCTTTCTTCCTGGCAGATGCACCTCTTCCGACCCAGTCTAGCCCGGCCGGCTAGCAGATGGTTGGGCGGATGTCCCAGGGCTTCTCGCCCCCCTTTTTGCAAGATGCCTCCAGCTGCTGCATGCTTTTTTCAGTACTGCTGGAGTCCAGCCACACCGAAAAAAGCATGCCCTGTGCTATGTGCCAGGCCTGGCAAATCCGAGCAGCTGGTGCATAGAACAGGGTGGCACCGGACCGTTGGAGAAGTGGAGCGAACTGGAGATCAGTAATTTTCGCTGCAAGAAGCCTGCAACGGCCACGTGTTCTCCAACCCCACTGAAAAAAGTACAACATGCGCCGGCCCATTGGAGAAGCGGAGCAGCAGCTACAGGGTTCTCGCACCAAAAAACGGGGGGGCAGCTGGAGGCGCCTCTTTTTCAGTCTCCAGCCGCCTCTTTCACGATGCAGGAAGCCTCCCCCAACCGGCCGGCTGCTCTCCTCCTCCTCCTCAGCCACACAGAACAAACAGGCAGAGAAGGAAGAGAGCCGGCAGGCAGTCGCAATCTGCAGCATCAGTCATGTGGCCGAGTGGGTGTGGCCAACTCAACGTCACTCGCAGCAAGGTGGCACACCACCTTGCCAAGTTGGCCACGCCCACCCAGTCACATGACTGAGAGGTCTGGAAGCAGCATCTAAACCAGGGGTATCAAACTCAAAGTCCATGGGCCGTATCCAACCCACAGGGTGCTTAAATCTGGCTGCAGGACCGGCCTAGTAATATCAAAGGACCGGCCCATGGTGCTTCTGCCATCCGTAAACAGGCTGTAAACAGGGGCCATAAACAGGGCCCTAAACTGGGCCTCCACGTGGTCCATTTTTGGCTAGCGGATTGCTGCAGGAAGACTGGATTGGAATGGATTACAATTATGTTGCCTCAAGTAATCTATCTATCCAGTGGTCTGGATAGAAACCAAGCAACATCCTATGTTAACATTGCAGTTTAATGTCAGATTTTACATACTGTAGATCCATTTAATCTACAACCAACCATCTATAATTAACAGCCATTTCTATGTACTATCCTGGAAATTTACCTCTGTTATGTTATTTATGCTATTGTATTTTTATTAATAGTTGAATAATAAACATACAATAGTATAAATAGCTTTTCTGCCTGGAAAAGAAATTTACTATTAAAACAATGGGGTATCCATTTAGAAATAAAAACTCTAGTGGAGTATGAAGAATAAGTAATAAATGCTTGCCAGTAATACCCAGTAGAAGACATCGGAAAATGGTTTTGGGATGACCCGGGTCTTGGCACAACGGCAACACAGTCACATAATCAGTAAGAGTCACTTTATTAGCTCCAACTTTGCCCCCAATGTCCTGGTTACCTTCTGGGCTGGAGAAAAACCCTCCCAGGAACAGCCTTCGGGTGCAGAGAATCAAGTCCAAAACAAGGTCAACAAAAACTGTAACTATAAGTACAATCAAGTCAAAATGATGTAATTAGTCGGGCAGGGCAGAAGCAAGAATTCCAGACTTAAAGGCACAGCAATAACTCAACATGGTTGGGAAGATGCCAGGAACACAGATAAACAACAACACAGGATAAAGTCACATTTGTTCCCAGCAGACGCAGCACTCAGCTTGCATCTCTTTTAAACTGTCAATCCCAGGTGTGGCTAGTAAAGGGAATCAGGGCCCTTTCCTTCCCCGTAAGCCATGCAACCCATGTTGCTCCCTTCTCTGTTCCTCCCTGTATGCCCTAGGATGAAGAGGGGGTGGGCCTGGGTCTTCTCCTGCTCTGCCCAGCCGGACTTTGCCCTTCCCCAGTTTCCTCCACAGCCAACGGAGCCACACGCCCGCTCCCTGTCAGCTGCTCATCTTCCTCCTCAGATTCAGACTCCAACAGGGACATGACAGATTATAGTAAAGAACTGTGGGCAAAAAAGATTTGCCAATGTTGTTTTATTTATTTATTTATTTGATTTGTCAATCGCTTACAAGATCATAGGTATAAGTATAAACAAGAGTAAGAATACAGGAAATAGGAATGGATAAATGGGGACAATAGGACAGGGACGGTAGGCACGATGGTGCACTTATGCACGCCCCTTACAGACCTCTTAGGAATGGGGTGAGGTCAATAGTAGATAGTTTAAGGTTAAAGGAGTAGTGGGCTGTGATTTTCACCACTCTGATCTAGACCAGCCAAACCCAATTCCTGCAAACCTTTTCTATTTCCTGTTTTAACCTCCTCTTGAACCAAATAAAAAAGATACACATAAACCCCC